AAAATTTTTCGGTATCCAGACCCAAAAAAAACACCGGGATCACGGAATTGGCATCCCTAGTACATACATATTCGACTCATTGACTTGATATGATACAATTTTGACAATTATACTTGTACAGTTTTATGGCGCATACAATTTTAGTCCCATGGGGGTGCAAGTTTCAAGCGTTGTTGGGAATATTAAAAAAAATCAACAAAATTATATACAGATATAGCTCCAAATTTACGTTTGGAGATTTCCACATACAATTAATAAGCTTGATAAGTAGAATATGTTCTCAGCCTAATATATGACAAAACTTCCCAAAAATGGCGAAGATATTTGTATTTCCATCTGTATTTTGGTGTACCAACTGTATGAATTGTTTAAACTTTGATTGCGTCTTCCCACAAAATTGAAAATTTGAAATAATTCTGTTTATTATCTTATGGCGCTTTCATTTCTACAAAAAAAAATTTGCCTTCTCATTGCCAGGGGGCAAAGAGAAGGTAACATTTTTCGATAGAAACGAAAACGTCATTACTTTTATCTTCATTCACATTTATATATTGATTATATTTCACAATAAGTGCTCAAGTAATTGAATATTGTTTATGTACACAAATACATACATACACGTATGCATATGTACGTACACAATTTTATATACATAGGAATATTTAAAAAAAAAGCTTATAAAAAAATAACTCTTTTCTAATCATGCTACATCCTTGAGTGGCATTAAATTGTGCTTCAAGCTGTACTTGTAGCGATAATCATATCAAAGATTATAAGAAGTGTTATGTTATTTATTTAGTCAATGGAAAATATTTAGAATATTTCAAGTACTCAAGTCTTTCAACACTTTCGACATTTCACTCTTGGATAAACGAATTATAATTCTCCATGTACAGTAGTAGTGTTCACTTCGTTCGTTAGTGACGTACGCGCAGTTTAACTGTTGTAAATAATAATAAAATATGACCGTGGAGTCCGTTCCTGAACCGACAACTGCTTCACAATCACAATCAAATCCTGCTGAGAAAAGGTGTGTTCAGCCATCTTTGGTGATGGAACAATGTGTAATTTACAAATTCGATATTAAAGTGACTAGTATATGGTGTGTGCAGAGTTTAAAAATTAAA